AGGAACGTCTCTTGTTTTCCCAGAATCTGATTGCCTATGCACGCAACAGGTGTTTGTAGAATCGTTGGATCGAGCTTTCGAGAACGTGAGTGAGCTGGATATCGTATTCCAGTTCGACGAGGTACGCATATTTGCGACCTGCTGCAACGATGAATCGACATCTTAGAAGGTTCACCACATCCTTGCCGAAATCATTCAAGGAGGATTGGTTCTCGAGACAAACGTCGAAGAAATCGACAATTCAGGTGCTATTACTATCACTACGCCACGTCCTCGTCCTCATCTCCTCCACACCTCAGTGCAGCAGTCCGCCAAGCTACGGAAGGAATCCTTTGTGTCGGCAAATCCGCTTTCATTGGGTATCGGTATGGGGGGCGTAGGCTCCCGAGGAGGGGGCCTGAAATCACCACTCGGCTGGCTGACGGGGAAGATTACCGGAGTTGGAGCGCAGTGAGCTTGGGCATAGGCACAGAATACGCGTATTTTGGATTTGTCTGGGACGCCTTGAAACCGCAATCATCCATTCGAGACTTACTCTGCACGTTATGTCGTCGGCGCCACGAGAGTTCCTGTATGGGAATGATGTCATCTATATCACAGAAAAAAAAGACACATCATACGTTTTCGTTTTTTCTTCCCCGCCCCCGGTAGTGCGCGTGCGGGGGGTTCCTGAGACACCTGAGGCGTCGTAGGGGCCTTCGTTTCTGGAGGCGCAGGGGCAGGGGTGGCAGAACTTCGGGGTCCCTGAACTGCTGGAGACTCCGGCACACTCTCGACATTGAGATCCAAAGCACTTGCTGAAAAAGCCGTCTTGGAATGCAGCGCTGTAGCACGCATGGCATTCATCAACAACAAGCTGTTTTGCTGCCTCTGGGGAACTTTGGGCTTCGTTTCTGGCGCTTCAGACACGGCCCGGCTTTCAGTGCCTACGCTTTCTTCTCCCGTGGCTGTCTTCTTGCTAGAATCGTCTGGGAGAGCCGAGTCTACAATGGGCCAAACAAATCCTGTTCTGGGGATATAGTCTGGTCGTCGACTCCGTAAGATGTCCAAAGAGGATTGCAGAGAGCAAAGCGAGGTCAGCTGGCAGGGCATCAGTCCATTCATTCAATGGTTCTCGGTCGCAGAGGGTTTACCAGTCGATTGGAGAGAACCGTATAAACGTCCGGCGACTGGTAGATCCGGTTGTTCATGATGAAATAGGCCGCCAAAGGGCGCACTTTCCGATACATTTCAAGGGATCATTCAAACGTGGAAAGGGCGCAGACAAACCATCGTCTGGAGAAAGCCGTTCACGTTTGTGAATAATGAACATGGACGGAGGTTGTGCATGCACCACGGCAAACTCGACTCCTGTGAATCGTCTGCTTGCGTAGATTATTCTAGCGGACACTCGTCGTGTAGTCATGGTACATGCCTCAATTCCTCGGCTTCGTTGACAATCGCCGTTCCCGTGTGCATCGTCTGCATACGCAAAACCTGGTTATTGCTTTGCTTGTCGTAGAACATGGACGTCGTAAAATATTCGAAGACATTTTTGGTAGTTAGAGGTCCATTTGCCTTGGCACATAATCAGTTAGTTCGTGGATGAGACGCGATAAAGAGCACCTGAATCCATTCATGCCAAATGAAGAACCTGTGGCTGTAATCGTCTGGAGGGTGCAGGTCACTAATATCCATCGTTTGAAAGGCGCGAGTTCAGGGACTTGTGACATGCCACATCCTGATTACATAACAGAAGGGTTTCGCCAGTCCAAAGTTGCTAGATTCACAGTTCACTCATGAGATGCATGAGACCATAGATATGCATTAATTTCAGTTTGGATTCCGTTACTCGTAGCTAATATACATAGGAAACAGATTCGGATTTTCGAGATAGATAAACGTCGTATAGACGGTGATAGCGAGGGTTCAAAGGATAGAAAGAAAGAGAATATAATGAAAGGAGAAAGTTAATGAACGAAAGTGTTGCCGAGCAGAACAAACACCCAGACAAGAAGAGAAATTCATATCGAGATCACGTTCGTCGCGGGGCCAAGCACGGGGAGTACAGGGCGGTACGATACGTGACACGTCGAATGACGCTGGGAGGGACGCAAATTCTGGGCGAGCAGAGAGCATGCGGCCAGATACTGCGGAGCTGGCGGAATAGTGACGTAAGCCTGCGCAAAAGGTATCAGTCAGCTGCGGACATAGAGAAATGGCGGTCTGACTCACACGAAGATAGGTGATGTGAAGGAAGAATAGAGTATCTACTTATTGTAGACGCAATCGCAGTCGGCACCGAGGCCAACCAGACCCTTTCCGCAGCTGTCGCACCAGGTTCTCGAACCCTGCTCGACCCCGATTGACTTCTTCGATGACAGCGAGTGGTGGGAGGAACAAACAGACTCCTCGCGCTGGGATTCGTCACGATGGATGCTGATGAGGTGGCGCCCCAGGTCGTGCTTGCGGCTGAACGAGCGGCCACACGAACGGTGGGGGCAGACGTGGGGTTTGAGCCTGTTGGGGTCATGGGTGGCCATGTGTGTTTTGAGATTGTACGCGCGGGCGAATGCTATGAGTAGTTGTCAGCAGCAGGAGAACAAGAAAATATTTTCACCAACCTCGAGGACACGCGGCACACTTGTATTTTTTACGCGAATCGCCTTTATAGTCATCATCCTGTGCATTCGCCATGTGGTTGGATGGTACGGCAGGAAGCTGCGCGGAGATGTGGGAAGGAGAGACGGTTGGACCGGCGAGGGACGGGTTGTTGAAGTTAAGTTGGTTGTACAAGTCAACGGAGGCTGAGGCACGTCTCGGAGGACCATAGTCGGAAAAGCTGGTACGAGAATCGTACGCTTTTGAGTAAAGCTTGGTGCTGCGGGTCGTGTCAGGCGCCGCGGTCGCCCCGAAGGACAAGCGATCTGCTGCGGCATCAGAGGTGGCTTGGGCTGCGGCGTATTCTGATGCAGCGGCGTCCACGCGAATGCGTTGGAAGTCCATCTCAAGGTCGAGAGGGAAGGAATAATTGGAGGGAGGATGGGGGGAATGAGGGTAGTTATAGAAAGACTCGGAATACGACGAGAGGGAATCATAGGCTGACTCGGACGAGGCAGTTATGTTGGACGGGGGGCCACGAGTGGGCGTGTCAGATCTGAGGTACGAGTATGCGTCGTGGGAGTCGATTGTCAACAACTGCAGCTGGTTTTCGTCGAACCCGGCAAGACTGGAGTCTAGTTCAAGCTCGAAGAGATCAGGATGGGGTGCAAGAATGTCTGAGGGGCTCTGAAAGGAGAGGAAATCGAGACCCTTGTTGTAGTCCGCAGTGAACTCATCAAAGACTGAGTCGGGCGGATACGGCGTGGCCTGGGGAATGGACATGGTGCTGGATTAATATGTAGACGAGTCAGAGATGGGGTGGAGGTGGAAGACAAGAGCTGCACAGCCGCCGGGCAGCTGCGCATCAGTGTCACATCACTCAAAATAGCATTCCCTTTCCGGCCATACAACGCCGCGGCGCTTATCTAGGCGCCACTGTCGCCCCCACCGTTGCACCCAGGTTACACCCCCTCTTCCAGCGCAAACCCTCTCTCAACGCGTCCCGCATTGCACTGGATCCTGCGGTACCGAGGGTCCCACAGCATGATGACACGCAAGTCGAACGCTCGATCTCATCGATCGTCTGCATCTCAACAAATGTGCAACATACGTGTTCCAGGCGTTGGTACACGTCACAGTCATAGGGCTGTCTGCAAACTCCAACAGTCATGGTGATCCTTCCTATGGATCCACAGCTTGAGGCGGCTGTTGCCTTCCACATTATTCATTTTCCGCGCTTGCTGGACTGTGAGACACCACAAAGTCTTTAAAAAGCTAGCACCCAAATTACACTTGTCTTTTGTGAATCAATATCTACGGCTTTTTGGCTCATTCCGCCAGAGTGTATCCACAATTCGTCATGAGAGTGCACCCTGTGACCCATGGCTGCCTACCTACCACGTCCGGACTGCCATTCTGCAATGTGCTTCTTACCGTCGCTTCCGGGTCAACAAGGGTCTGCTCTGCCATATTGGACCTTGAACAATGTGAAACGGGGACTACGTCTGACACCTACTTCCAAAAAAATGCCCAATCGATGTCCTTGGAACGCCCAATCGATGCCCTTGGACCGCCCAATCAATGTCCTTGAACGCCGAATCATCAATTCCCAGAAGAGGACTCGATGCTAGAATACTCAGCTCGGGCAAAATAAAATGTAAGGGAACAGGTGGCTGCATTGCCGGCCTAAAAGAGGATCTAATAGCCTGTGGCTGCAAACGACGGTGCCTGCCTGTTCGGATGAGACTGCTCTTACCCACAACGATATGTGAGCAGTGGAAATGCGAAAAGAGGGGCCGTCTACGGGTCCCTTGTGAGCTTCGCGGGGAGTCATGGGTAGTGGGAGGAGAGGGAAGAAGTGGGCAGAGAGTAAGGCGCGAAGTTGCGTCACTAACATTCACGATCCTTGCGCGCGGACTTCTTCCCATGTTATTTATTGTTACCTCTTCTGAATTCGGATCAGTGCAGTCAGGCCGACATGAATGCCCGTCACGTCGTCCACATTCGGGCTACCCAGTTCCCAAAAGAAATAAATGCGAATAACTCATCACTTCTGCTACCGACTGAGAAGCGGGACCGCGCTCAGGAAGACAGACGACCTGAACCGAGGGAGACAGACTCTTTCCCAGGAGAGAGTACTGCGGGTCCAAGAAGTAGGAGAGAGGGATGTCATCCAGCGACAGGAGACAAGTGGTTTGGCAGAGAAAGACAGTGCGGGGAGACAAGATTGCGCAGACGAGGCGAGAGATTGGAGCATATAGCAGCAGCGTAGCATGAATGAATGAATATATTAATATTAGTTACACTTACACGAGCTGCGGGAATCCCTACCTGTGAATGTGATACCAACATAACGTCGGGAACACGGACATCCCGATGTGATTCAGCTAGTGATTCATTTATGAAACAGTTGCACAATAGCCCGCCTAGCTCAATCGGATAGAGCGTCAGACTCTTATATAGGCGGGTTAGATCACCTTGAGTGTCATCTGAAGGCTGCGAGTTCGACCCTCGCGGTGGGCTACCGTTATTTTTGTTTTATGTGTTTTGTCTGTTTTGTCTTGTGTGTCGAATTCATACTAACTTAATATCCATAAACCTTCTGTCATTCGAACGCCCGATGATGATTGCGCACACCGGGCCCGCATGCAAACATTTAAGAGATGTCAAGAGATTCGGAGCTAACTTATCTAAATTGAACCTTGATCGAAGCCAGTGCTCTTGAAAAAGCAGAATACTGTATCGGCGTGTATGTAGGCAACGGCCGAGGGAGCGTTACATTTTGAAACAGGTCCTGGGTTAGCAACCAAGGCCAATTTAGGCAACAGTTGGGCGGATTTTGTCGGACACAAGCCACCAACATCCACATACCAAAATTAGCGTTACGTTGTTCCTGTGCAGCGGAGATTATTTTCGTGAGTTTTAGACCCATTTTAAGGGAGAAAAATGCATTTTTTAAAACATGTTTCAAGTTAGCAACGGCAGCTGCGTTACGCGTTACTACCTGGGATTTAGAACATTCAAGGAGGGTCCGTTACGCGTTACGTTGCCTACATACATAACATATCTTCTCTTCTTACAGCCTCTGCCAAGGAGAGTTCACAGTGGAGGCAACGTCGGGAACAAACAACTAGTTTAGGAAATTGTGGACTTTGGTAAAACAAACACTAAAATTGGAAAAAGAAACTAGCCCACCGCGAGGGTCGAACTCGCAGCCTTCAGATGACCCGCACTGGGACTTTCGTAAAAGTCTGACGCTCTATCCGATTGAGCTAGGCGGGCTTGTAGAGTCTTCTGACAGGCTAAGACATGATACTAAAAACTCCTACCTGTGATAGAAGCGCAAGACAAGGGTAGAGCAGAAAACCGTAAATGAATAATTGGCTTTGAATTGACTCCTGACAATGCACGGCCCAGAGGCAGGACCTGTTAAAACAGAAGCAGAATCATCAACCGGAGAAAACAGCTCTTGAAGATTAAACGTTCAAGTTGTGTGATTCCGCAGTCGATACAGGGACCGGTTTGATTTAGCTACAGAAAGATGGTATACAAAATTGCAGAAATAAATGGACAGCAATATCGATTAAACACTCTAGACAGCTTAGACACCAACCCTGTAAAAGGGTGAGCAAGGAAGACATCAAGAGTCACTTGGGCGACGAACCTGTGTACAACTTTTTTCTATGGGATGTCGTCAGTTACTGCCACATGCACTGGAACAGAGTACGAACCTGACCCGAGAACCGGATTATCTCGCTCTTCTCCATGACAAACAATGTTCTCTCAAGCGCATGGCTTGAGTACCCCTGCTGGGTGACAAACTCACGGACGAGACTTTGGTAGCTCGTACTCCAGCCGACGGGAAGCCTTCTCCGTAGCTCTCGTTCTATCCGCACCATCTCTTCGTTCAACTCTCCTCGAGAGAGACCGTCAGCAGAACCGGCAGAGACAGCATCCATCGTGGAGAATTTGAACAGTCGGATGGCTTCTTCGACATGGTGATTTTGGACAACGGTCGAAAGCGTCATCTTGGCCAACGATTCGGATATCCGGATGATAGCTTCCAACTGTCTATTGTCGCAGAAACGAGACTCGGCCATAATCCCGGACAGTCGGAAAGAGAGCGTACCTGACGGTGATGGGGATGGAACTTCGTTCGTCGTTGTCCCGTTCTACTTGCTGCACTTGTTTGCGCAAACTGACAAAGTGACTGCTTAACATCTCCTGCGCCTCGGCAGACAAACGCGGGGCACATTTACTGACCAACGGTCAGCGAGTTATTCGAAAAACATTACTAGGAAATGGGCACCTTTTGCAATATGCGATGTAACGTTTCATGACATCGAGACTAAGCTCTCCGACAGCCTCCTCGGGGTTTTCATTCGCCCTATTCATCTGAATATTCATGACATGTTTGGCAATCATCTGCGAACATAAACAAGTGAGCAACACGATAATAGGGAAATGTGCAAACAGACCTTGTCTCTTTGTTCGTTATGCTCATCCTTCACAATGAAGATCATGTCAAATCGCGACAGAATCGTTGTTTGGAAGTCAATGTTCTGGTGGTATCGCTTCAATATGTAGTTCGCGACGGTAAAACTGTCACATACCTCGCCGGGACTTCTCCCTTCGTCATATCGGCCAAAGACGGGATTTGCGGCTGCGAGCACACTAGTCCGGGAATTCAGAACAGTCGTAATGCCAGCCTTGGCTATCGAAATGGTCTGCTGCTCCATTGCTTCGTGGATAGCCACGCGGTCTTCGTCTCGCATCTTGTCAAATTCATCGATGCAGACTACGCCTGTATCAGCCAAGACCATGGCACCCCCTTCAAGGTAGAACTCCCGCTGCCGGCAGATTAAACGGGGAATGTAGAACGGGTTTCAAAACTTACAGATACGGTATCACGCTGGACCGAAGCAGTCAAACCGGCAGCACTAGACCCTTTACCGGATGTGTAGACAGCAATGGGGGCGACCTTGATGTCTGGTGAGCTTCAACACGTCTTTCGGATGAACTATGATATTACTTTTTCTACAAACTTGAGAAGCTGACTCTTCGCCGTTCCAGGGTCGCCGAGTAGAAGAACATTGATATCGCCTCGCAGTCGCATGCCGTCCGGAAGAATCTTCTTGGAGCCCCCGAAAAGAAGACATGTAATCGCCTTTTTTATGTCTGATACTCCCTTCAATACTGGACGAGATACGAATTAAGCTGGAAGAGACCCACCAAGACTACCGTAGATACTCGGCCCAACGCTTCTAGCAAACCGTTCGTAGAAGCCTTCACTTCTAGCCATTTCTCCAAATTCTTCCTCTTCCTCGGGCGTGAATTGGACGCCGAAAGGATTCGAACCGGAACCGTTCGATGGTCCTGAAGACAACTCTAGGTGAACAACGCGGAGATAGGGCTGGCGAAGAGCAGCAGCGCCCGCATTTTTCTGGAGGAGGCATTCATACATAACTGGAGACTTCGAGTAGAAAGACGCACGTTCTTAGCAGACTGGAATGTCGAGTATATGCCAGTCGCGACAACCCTCGACCCGGGGACCACTTTTCCCGTCAGGAATCTGTCAACAGACAAGAGCATGTGTCTGGGAAGCTCCCCGACTGGGACCATATCCGGAGCCTCCTGGAGCTTGAGAGTCTGTTGATCGGCGAAGGTAGATTTGGAGTGTACGATGAGGTAGGGATCGATAGGACAGTCATTCTTTGTCCCACCAACTTCAGGTGCATCGCAGAAACGCGGTAGCCCTCGATCCGAGCCTCCGCCGACTCCTCCCATGCCGCCAGAAGGATGTATATCTTTTGTCGATCTGCAGGAGCGGCACTGGAGATGAAGTTTGGTTGCCCGTGAAGACAGAACAGACGCAGATATGACGATCCCGGGGATGCGGACCAGCTTATTCATGGTGTTGGCAGTGAGATCGCGGAATTGAAGCATGTTAAGCCCTGAGCGCAGGTTGATTTGGATACTGGGTATGGCCTCGGCAGCATCCTCAGCGTTCTTTTTCCTCTCAGCCTCCGTTCGGCCCACACCGGTAAGTGGGAACAGGATAGAACGCGCTGCTTTGGCCGCTGCATTTTCAAACTAGACACAACCAATATTCGAATGGCGTCACGTCGCACTCATTTGAGATTCTTACTAGGGGTAGGGTTTCGGCAGGACTATCTTGAATCGCGTGAGCTAACTCGTCGTTGTAGAGACTGACGTGTCGGAGGTCGACTTCGAGGATCCGTTGCTTCAAAAGCAAATTGCCTCTCAGCTTATCTCTATGCGTCACTGTCAATGTCGGGCTTGAAGAGCAGCGAAGGGCCCCCACGTACCTGTAGATGAACTCGCCACCCAGGCGATACTGGAGGAGGAAGTCGAGGAGGAGTTTTTCTGTCTCGGAAGGCGAGTCCGGTGACACTGCTGGAGGAGCATCGTGAGCGGCAACGGTGTAAATCGCGTTGGCGTCGAAGCCGGACATGTTGAACAGATGGTGGGAGGAGAAGGTAAACTATGATTAAGGGCCGGCAGAAACGCGTCTGGTCACATCGGAAGTCACGTCGCGCTATCACACACTCAGCCAATGCTGCAAGCATGCTCAGTTGTACTTGCTCAGACTGGAGATTTTTAACTAATCAAAGTATAATTTGCAACATAAAATCCAGGGATAATTCGATAGTCGCGTTCCATAACACCTTGCTCTCCAAGTGGTGAATATGAGATCTTGGAGCTTGAACCTGAACACTTGAACCTGCTCTCATAGACCGGCATCTACCTCAGGTTCAATTCCTCAGGCAACACAGCACATACTTAGAAGTGTTGTCTTGAGTATGGAATTTAGATTAAACACCCATTCCGTCGCACCTCATTTGACATGGCATAACATGGTCCAGAATACTTGGCGGCACTTCAAGCCTGTGCAACGTAGACGTTCTTTGGATATCGAATTCCGGTAGCAGGCAGTTCCTGCATCTCAGGTGTAGCAAGTAGGTTGATTATCAAGGCCGCATTTGCAACTCGTGTGCTAATGGATGTGGTGGGTATCAATACAACTACGGCCAAAACGGCCATAAGTTGTGAACGGATACGCGATGGCCAGATCCCTGTAGGTTTGACAGCGCTGGAATTCAGTCTGGAAGATTATTGAGTGGCGGATGTCTCTAGATTCAAGCTGCGAGAAAATAGGGTAGACGGTTCCGTTCTTACATAAGTACTGTACTGTTGGGATTACATATAAGTTTCAGCAGAGGGGGGAAAACCCGATGATTGTAAGGCTTTCCTCTAGAGTCCCAGTATAGTGAAGACTGGAATTGCGAGGCGAACAAAGCAAGAGAGTAAAAGTAAAAGTAAAGTAAAAGTTGAAGCTGAAATAGGTTGTGTGACAGTGGCACAGCAATTGAGTCACAGTGCCGCGTCCTTTAAATCCACCATGAGTGCAATGGACACTGACGAGCCCCCAGTCGTCCTCTCCTCGTCGACGACATCCGGATTGTCACTCTCCCTGTGTGTGTCTTCTTCTGGGCCACCCAGATCACATCTCTGAACATTTTCTTCCTAGCCATCCTCTCCCCATTCTAAACATCTCAGAACACTTGACGAGATTAAAACTGCAGACTAATACCAACTCTCCCTTCGGTCCGTATGTTGGAGAGCTCTTCAAACAGAAGTGCTTATCGTATTTCAGTCTTGGGTGCTCTCCTGGGAACGCAGAACGGGCGGGAGGTGGAGATCGTCAATACGTTTGAACTTGCCGTCGAAGCTGGCAGCGAATTGGTTGACCATGGGTTTCTGGTCTCCAGACGTGATCAATGTGAGCTCCGCGTTTCGGAAACTTTGTGTCTTTGTGTATTCCAACAACGATCTTTGCACAGACAAGCAGGTGTTTCCTTCATTGGAGTTTATCGGCTGGTACACCGTTGCACCGCGGCCAACCACCCGGCACATCGCCTTGCATGAACAAGTATGTTTCGATCGCGTTATGCACGCAAGAATTTACCGCCTGCGTTCAGTTTACAGGCTACTGCTCAACGCCACTCTTGCTGATATTACAGCCCTCCATGACTCTAGTCGCGAGCTCTGATGTTAACGCCCAAACACTTCCATTCAAAGCCTACGAACCTACAATAGAACTACGGGATCGAAAATCTCGATCAGTGTTCATCGAGGCGTCGTACAATGTCGAGACGGGCGAGGCAGAGCGCATCGCTGTAGATTGGACGGCTAGGGGTGGAGGAAGCGGAACGAGCTGTGAGTTGGTCATCCTATCCATTCATGGCATGGAACTGATT